GGCACGGTGGGGGTCAGCCATGTCTCCGTGAAGCACAGAATGTTGCAGTCCCTCATGTCACGTTGGAAGGTGACCCTTGCTCTTAGGTCATCGAGCTTGTTCTCCATGGATTGTACATTGGCCAGTAGGATACTGGGCAGTGGTGCGCGATGCGCCTGCTGTCTCAGTCTGTTCCTAATACCAGCGCGTTTTCCCCGGCGCTTCTTTGTTCTGCGCCTCGGATGAGCGGCCCGTCCTTTGTTGTTCTCTGCGCCGCGTAGAATCTCTGGCGGCCAGGAAGGGTCAGGTTTAAAAGTGTCCAAGATTAGATGTGCAACCTTGGCACCGATGTTTACAAATGATCCGCTGTCGTATACTATAAGACTAGAGGATTTTGGGATGTAAACCAGAGCAAAAAATAAGTAAAAAACACGAAAAGTGGATAGTCGGAGCGGCGCGGTCAGGAAGGCGTCTGGACGTGGCCGCGCCATCTTGTCATCGAGAAGATCGAGAATAACATCAACCTTTACCCCTATAATGAATAACCCTGCTTTCCCTCCGGGGTCCTCGGACGTGCAATCCCTCGGACCCCGGAGGGATTGCACGTATCCCCTCACCGCAGACACCTCTTCAACCGCTCTCTTTCCCCTGTGTGTCTTAAGTGCAAAACTGATGTAGGGACTTTAACTCACTGTTTTTGGTCCTGTTACAAGCTTCAAGAATACTGGGCTGACATTACAGGTGAACTGGGGAAAATCTTCCACGTTGATATAGAGATGGACCCTTTATCCCTGATTCTAGGTCTTCCAAGTGACCGCCTAAAAGCGGCGGCCAACAAAAGATTGTATAACACTCTAACATTTGCAGCCAGGAAAAATATCCTCTTACAATGGATCAACGATAGGACTCCCACTGTCTGTGGCTGGCGCAAAATAATTTTCGAACTGATTCCTCTGGAATACCTCACACACATTATACACCACAGTGTGGGTCAGTTCTACGGGATGTGGCACCCCTTTTTGGACTATATTGGACCGGACCTTTCCGCTATCTTATTCAAAGGACTACTATGCACGTGATCATCACCCGGGCGCTGTAAGACTGACTCACCACCTCTTGTATGTTATATTTTGTATCTTGTATTATGCCTTATTTAAGAGCTGTTGTGTACGTTTTGTGTTTGTACTGTTTTGTTGTTCTGTGTCTAATGTCGAGACACTGTGTTGTTAAAGGAAAATCTGCAATAAAAACAATGATGAAAAATTGATTATGGAACTGAACCTAGATGATAGTTGATGTCCAGCATTTACCTTCCTAACATTTACCTTCCTAACTGAACATTAACGAAGGACAAATCCAAAATTTATCATATCAAAAAATATTTCCTGGTTTTCAAACAGGAAACAAAGATGATGGGCTTAGCAGCGTCCACTTAAACAGCAAACAACGTTTTTACATTCAGTCCTCCATTTGTGTTAAAGCAGGTGACTTTTATCAACCAATCAGAGCAGAACAATTAGCTGATGCACTAAACTTTTTTCAAACTCTTCATCTAGCTGGAGCTCAGGCAAATAGAGAAGGGTCTGGCTGCAGCCACTGTGGAGCGCCATATTGCAACCTCCACAGTAGCCGGAAACACGTGGATACAGTGGAAACCTTGCAAGTGGATCGTAAAGGTTGGGACAGAGTCTTTCATATGTACATTTGCCGTTAGTAATTTCATAATTCTAGGAATCATCTAGTTTGCTTACACTGATCATGTTGGCACTCTGTTTGCGTTACAACAACACTCATTGTTAAATTGTGTTTTTTTTATCGTGCTTCGCAGAGAAACACAGATGTGTCCGTTTACTGGCCCTGGTTAAAGTAAGAGAGCTGGATTAAGGGCTTCTGTGGGCGACAAGCCAAAAAAATACACATTTTGCATTAGAATATGATTTTTTTGTTGGCTTCAGAGACGGAAAGTAACGAAGTACAAATACTTCATTACTTAAATAGAATTTTCTGGTATCTGTACTTTACCGCTGTACTTTTTTGTGCCTAATTTATACTTCTACTTCTTACATTTTAGCACAAGTACCTGCACTTTGTACTCCCGACATTTTCAAATCAGGGTCATTACATTATTCCCCCCCGCGCACTGTGGAAGCAAGATTACTTAGAATTTTTGTACTTAAAGTACAAAAGCCTGTACTTCTTACTTCCACTTGAGTAAAAAGTTGAGTGAATACTTCTACTTTTACTCGAGTATTTTTAAACAGAGGAATCTAAACTTTAGTAAGGAATGTGTGTACTTTTCTCTGTTTTAGATGCACATATCAATTTGGAGTTCTGCCTCCAAGCCAGAATTGCAGAAATGCACCACGTGTTGCCTGTTTCACTGCCCTCTGTGCCCCACTTTCAGCCCTGCTGTCAGGGCAAAGATTGAGGAGCAAATAAATGGACACATTAAAAATGCTTTGCCTTTAAAGGTATGTTGGTGTTAAATATACCCCATAGTTAAAGTTATAAATATGCCCTTCTTTTCAGCACTTCTGCAGTCTCTTTGTTGACTTACAAGTTGCTTTTCACATTGTACAGTTCAGTGCATCAGCAAGAGAATAAAGTGTGTTTTTATTAAGAATATTTTTATTTCCTGTTCACCACATTTCTTGACAGCTCTTGTGATCCACACCATTTTGCTTTCATTACTGAGGATGGCTTGGATGTTTTTCTTAATATGTACAATCTGATTGTTGGATAAACTGATTGCATTCTATACAACTGCATTTAAATTACATGTGGGGGTTTTCCTCTCTCACAGACAAAATGATATGCTGATGCAGGACACTTTCACTGCCCTGTCTGTAACATGACCACCATACGGCGTGGGGATATGGCACGGCATTTATTGTCATGTCAGCCACTACTATCAGGACTGCTCTCCGCTGCACTCTCCGAGGAGCCCCGCCTCCCTCCCGCTGCACTCTCCGAGGACCTCCGCCTCCCTCTTGATGTCTTGTCTCCAGCATCTAAACCATTTTCTGAATCTTCAGTAGAACATTCATGTGCTCCTCCCTCTGTGCTAAATGAAACTGCGGTTTATAGAAAGTCCATGAAAATGAAACGCCCTCACTGTGGTCTTAGTGTTCTTAAAAAAAACTTCAAGGCTCACATGATGAGGAGGCATTCAAACACATCAATGTTTGCCTGGCCTGTCATCTGCACTGTGTTTGTGTAGAGGGACTTCCTCCTCTTTGTTTTCCAGTTTGCAGAGGACATGGAGCTCTTTTTAAAAGCATGTGCTGATGAGCAGGGACTACGGGTCAATGCGATGTTTGACATTTAATGGGCAGATGAAGGCCCCGGCTGTTTGTTTTGTTTTGTTTTTTAATGTGTTGTTTGGGGGTTTTTTTTGTTGCATTGTTTGCCATTTGTGACCATTTCTGCTGTGTTGTGCAAATGTAATGAAACTTGTAATGAAACCCATTATAACCACCTTTTTTAATTCCTTGCTGTTGACAGTACTAAATCATATAAATTAGGTAAAACTGCTTTCATTCTAAACTCAACACATGTAAATTGTATTTTTTTTTTAATTACGTCATTTACCCATTTTTGGCCAAACAATCAATTTTATGTAATTCTGATTTTCAAATAAGGGTGTTTGATGGCTTACCGCACTGCAATGGACCAAAAGAATGACGTAGGTTTGATCTTAAGGGTCCAATAGTTTGTGCATGACATTGCAGCACAAATATGTGTTTGCAAGATGTAGCTTGCCATCACCAGTATGTGAATGTGTGTGTGAATGGGTGGATGACTGGATATGTAAAGCGCTTTGGGGTCCTTAGGGACTAGTAAAGCGCTATATAAATACAGGCCATTTATCATTTACCATTTAGTAGGCAGCAGCAGGGGGATTTTCCTGGTTTGATCCAGGAGCTGAAGCTTACAGACATATTTCAGGATGTCAGGGGGGCAATTTGAGCTCTCGCTGGCAGAGCTGGGACCACAACTGAGGAGGCAGAGGACTCAGCTCCGGACTTTTGAGGGACTGTGCAGATCAACTCTGTGAGGTTATCTTTAACCTCAGTCTCAGCCTGGAGAGGGTCTCCATTCTGTGGAAGACCTCTTGTTTGGTGCCTGTCCCAAAGACAACGCAACCCAAGGAGCCAAACCACTTCAGACTCGTTGCCCTGACTTCAAACCTGATAAAGACCATGGAGAGGATCATACTACACCACTTTCGCCCACCAGTTGGGAGAGATCTAGACCCGCTGCAGTTTGCCTACCAGCCTAACATCGGGGTGGATGACGCGGTCACCTGCCTTCAATACAATCCAACCCTCAGTGCTAAGGGAGAAGATGCAGGGATTGGTGGGAATGGACCATCAGCTGTCCTCGTGGATTATTGACTACCTCACCAGAAGACCCCAGTATGTGAGTGTCTGAGGTGGTAGTCTGTAGCACGGGGGCCCCATAAGGAACAGTACTCGCCCCTTTAATCTTCACCCTGTACACTGCGGACTTCAGTTATAACACAGACACTTGCCATATCCAGAAGTTCTCAGACAACACTGACATTGTGGACTGTCTGCTGGAGTACATCGAGCAGGTTGGGGAGGAGAAGATGTTGTCGAAGCTAACATCCATCATGGACAACAGCTCCCATCCCCTGCATGAGACTGGACGAGCACCGAGCAGCTCGTTCAGCAGTAGACTTTTACACCCACAGCGTAGGAAGGAGCGCTACCGCAGGTCATTCTTACCAGCAGCTGTCAGACTCTATAACACTCATTTTATATAAAATCTTAATATAAATGAGTAACAGTAGGTGGACATTAGGTAAGACTGCACTTTTTGCAGCGATCTCGTATAAAAAACTATTCGGCGCGTATATAAAACAGGTCCGCGGCTCCGAACCGTAGTAAAGGGACCTCTGGCTAATACGCCTCTTAATGCGTGTTTTGTTTGGGTTTCCACCGGCATGGAATTACCAAAAATAGAGAGGACATAGCCGAACATATGAAACAGGAAAATACCGCTGTGTAAGCCATTTATTTCAGCAAAGCATTCTGAATACTACCGTTTTAAACGGTAACTGTAACAGAATACAGTTACTCATATTTTGTATTTTAAATACGTAACACCGGCACATGTACTCCGTTACTCTCCAACACTGCCTGCAAAGCACTCACTAACAAAACAGGAAACTGAATATCTGCTGAAACAGATCAGAGCCCCTGGAGCTGTACCCAAACTGGAAAACCTTAAAGGTTACTAGCAAGTCTCCTTAACTGAACATGCTTCCAACATTTAAGCCATCATCAGATGACTTTTTATACTCTCATAGCATTTGATATCAGTAATGCTCATGTTACCTTTCAGAGGCTGATAAAGTTCTGAGTGGCCTCTCCAACTGCAGTGCCTATTTAGATGACCTGGTGGTTTATCCGGAAACTCGGCAAATCATTTGACATGGGCAGGTACAGCCCATGAAGTCCAACTTTGTTGCGCTTAAAGATTATTCCACAACTAAAACAATGCGTGAGCTGCATAGGTTTCTGGGAATGGTTGGTTATTACAGCAAATCTGCAGAAATTTCTCCTCCACGGTCCAACCATTAACCATTAACTAGTCTTAATTGCCCCTTGGGAATAATAATATAAAAAATAAAGTCTTTCTGATTCTAATCTACTGTCCAAAGGTTGATTTTGTTTGGTCAGATGAGTGTCAGGGTGCTTTTGAAAGTGCTAAATCCCTCCTTTGCCACACCCCATGCTCGCTGCACCTGAGTTGACCTGACCTTTCAAATTGGAAGTTGGGGCTGGAGCAGTGCTGTTGCTGGAAGATGTGCAGGGTTTGGACCACCCCGTTTGCTATTTCTCCTGCAAGTTTAACAAAAATCAGCTCAATTATTCCACTATTGAAAAGGAAACTATGGGTTTGTTGTTGGCTCTTCAGCACCTCCAAGTTTACCTGCAGTCCAGTATTTTGCCTATCGTTGTGCACACTGATCGTTTTCCTTTCACGTATATTCAACGTGACAGGCTCTGCTGACGCAGGAATACACTCTAGACATTCAACATAAAAAGGGAACTGAAAATATTCTGGCCGATGACCTTTTCAGGTTGTATGATTTTGGTTTTTGTTTTTCATAAGCTGAAAAACGCTAAAATTTAAGTTTTCAGCAATGCTTACCATATTTAGAGAGCCCGATTGGCAACAAGCATTAAAAGTAATCTTCCCCTGATGTCTACTCTGAAATCACAGCAGCAGTAAATTTGCAGCAGGTCTGTGAAGCATGGAGTTACTGGAAGATTATGTCTTATTTATTATCTTTCAAAATACATAAGCATGTGTGTTAGCACTGACCTATCAAATCGTCCATACAGTCTTCCACAAACACCTGGGGAAAAAACAATAACCTGCTAAAGATTACATGTAGTAGATGAGCAGGTGCAAGCTGATAGTGTCACAGTAAGAAGATGCTCCAGTGACCGTGCAGAGTCACATTTAGTTAAATAACCAGAATATTAAAAAACATATAAACAGAGTTCATTGATACTGCTGCAGCCTCTAGAGAGCAGAATAAGATACAGATCCCATACATAGCCAAAGTTACCTGAAAGCTCGTGGTTCACCTGAAAGTTAAAACCCAGCAGCTCCGGATCTACTTCCTAAACTTTGGACAGGAAGTAGATAAACAAACAGCAGTCTGGTCCATCTTTCCAACTTTTCTTTGTTTAAACGATTAACAAATGTATTGGCGAGCTGAGATTATGTGATTATTTTATACACAGAAACAAGCAACCAATCAGGTGAAAGCGTGTCCCAGCAGTGTGCCAGTTGGTGACAGTGTGGACAGATGTTTGCCGTGCAGAATCTGTCACGTAAATCGTACCATCATGGGTGCGGCCGCTGAGCTCTGTACACAATAATCCTTTGCTGTGAGCCTCCAGCTGGTGGTTTAAATCTTTATGTTTACTTTTTATTCACATTTTGATGAATACTTTAAATGTTCTGCTGGTTGTGACTCTGGATTTCTCGCAGCTTCATTTGGTTCCAGTCCAGGCCCGGTCCGAGTGCGGCGACGGGGCACAGAGCTCGGAGTCGGAGTCTGACTCCCCCTCAGCGATGTAGGACCGGACGGCGGTGCAGCAGGCAGCTCCTCCCCCACCATGGCGATCTCCCAGGTTGTTGGAGGAGTAGAATCCATTGTTGAGGAAGTCCAGGTTGTCTCTGGACTGGGAGATGGAGAAGCCACTGAAAGAACGCTCCAGCTCCTCATGGTCCACTGATGGAATGGAGATAGAGGTGTCACTGTCAGGCTTCCCCTCCTCGCCTCCTCCTCCCATCCCATTGGACCCCTCTCCTGCCCTCTCCTGTTTCTCCGCCCCCCCTCGGTCTCCGGTGCTGTGACGGTTCGATCGGTTCCCACTGTGTCTCTCCCCAGATGGAGGAGGGGGCAGTCGAACCAATGACCCATCCCCCACCGGACTTGGAGTATTACCCTGGCTACGATGAGGAGGGGGCGGAGCCTGCTGGTGGAGCTGGGAGCTGATGGGCTGCCAGGAGGTGGAGGGAGGACATGTGGGGGCATTGTAGTTCCTGTGTCCGGTGGAACTGCTGGAGCGAACCATCTTCGTCACAACCCGAGCCTTCTCCACATGTTCAACTGGCAACCCTCTGTGTGTGCAAAATGTAAACACATTAGTAAGTAACCGCCATTTTATCAACAGGAAGTTCTGAGATTATCAAAAGGAAGTTGTTTATGAACAGCTAGATCTGAGGTCAAGTGGAAGATAACAGATTCCTTTTTGCTAAAGCATATAGTTAGGGCTGGACCAGGTGACCCTGAATCCTCCCTTAGTTATGCTGCAATAGACGTAGGCTGCCGGGCATTCCCATGATGCACTGGGTGTTTCTTCTTCACTCACTATGTATTAACAGACCTCTTTGCACTGAATCATATCTGTTATTAACCTCTGTCTCTCTTCCACAGCATGTCTTTATCCTGTCTTCCTTCTCTCACCCCAACCAATCACAGCAGATGGCCCCGCCCCTCCCTGAGCCTGGTTCTGCTGGACGTTTCTTCCTGTTAAAAGGGAGTTTTTCCTTCCCACTGTCGCCAAAGTGCTGCTCATAGGGGGTCATATGATTGTTGGGTTTTTCTCTGTATGTATTATTGTAGGGTCTACTGTACAATATAAAGCACCTTGAGGCGACTGTTGTTGTGATTTGCCGTTGTATAAATAAATTGAATTTAATTGAATTGGATGGTCGGGCCTTTAGGTCAGGTTCAAGTTAGATTAAAATTGGGAAATATTTATTATATTTTTCTCATCACTACTGTGACTTTGATGACGCTACCCTTTACTTGTATTTTCATTTACATTAATGACATGATGAATGAATAAAAAGACACTGACTGCATGATCTTGGCGATGGATTGGCTCTTCTCCAGCTGATCCACTGGACTGTGATAGGGTGGTGCTGGGTCTGGCTCCTTGGATCCAAAGTAGGCGTCGGTCTCAGCCTGAGGGATTCCCATTCGCTGGATATAGATATTAACCAAAAAGTCGAGCTTTCTCTCCATGGACAGGACCTAAGTGAGAAAACACCAGCAAAACAGACTCATGTCTGAAACCATAGCAGAAAAGCCACCAGGTGTACTCTTTATAGTCTGTTGGTTACCTGCTTCTCCACCTTCCCCAGGCGTCCCATCATGCTCGGGTCTTCAGGTAGCTCCTCACTGGCTGCTTTGGGACGATCCTTATCTGCAATTGGTGTTCCTCTGCCAACGATCTGATCCACCCTGCCAGTCAGGAGACAGAGTGAGTCAAGCCATTCAAAACCTCATAAAGTCTTACTTCACGCAGTTTTACCTAGACTGGAGGTTCTTGATACGGGCGAGCATGTCCAGGTGTCCGGCTGAATACTGTTCAATCACATCCATGACATCATAGGGACGAAGACTTTCCTTAAACTTCCTCTTGGATACCATGAAGCGCATGATGCTAAGAGAGGAAACAAGACAGCCAGCAGTCACACCACTTGTCTGAAATCAAAAAACCGAATCTGAATACTTAGAAGATATTCTGGGGCTTTTCTGTACAGGGTGCTGTGTGGTTTCTTTATCCAAGTCCTGGTGATTAGTTTGAGTTGCACGCTGTTTACCGGCATGCTTTGGCATGAGTGCCTGGATTGCTAATGAGGTCAATCAAGTCTTGACCACATCCATCTACAGTCTGTGGAATGGAGATAAGGAATGGTCCATATCTCTGCTTCAGTCCTGAAAACTGTGGCTCACAGTCCTGCTGGTAAGCTCTGGGCTCAGGGTCACCACAATGGAGAAACACGTTAAAAGTAACGGTTTGAGCTTGGCCCAAAGATGAAGACCAGATCAAATCTACAAAGAGCAGGCAAAGACTGTTTCGTTCTCTGACAGTCGAGTCAACCAGAACTTTGAATGGTTATCTTTAAAAACGTCAGCGATACCTGGGAAAGAACAGTAACGTTAGGGTAGGCCACATTGTGTTCATCCTTTTATCACACTTTATAGACATTTATATATTCCATCCATCCATTCGCTTCCGTTTATCCTTTTCAGGAGCCTATCCCAGCTGTCTTAGGGCGAGAGGCGGGGATACCCTGGACAGGTCGCCAGTCTGTCGCAGGGCTAACACACAGAGACAGACAACCATTCACACTCACATTCACTCCTGCATTCACACCTATGGGCAATTTAGTTTCCGAATAACCTATCCCCACTGACTGCATGTCTTTGGACTGTGGGAGAACCCACACAAACACGGGAAGAACATGCAAACTCCACACAGAAAGACCCCAGCCTGATGGTGGAATTGAAGTCAGGACCTTCTTGCTCTGAGGCAACAGTGCTAACCACCGTGCTGCTCCATGATATTTCTATATCTTACTACAATGTTGGTTTTATTCTGTGCCTTGTAGAAGGTGGGTCATGGAAGTCCCAGAGGTAGGGCCCCTCCATTCCCACATGCTTCAGGATTAAAACAAACATGGAAGCTAGCCCACAGCTTGTTTGTTTACATGCTGTTTCTTAGTCTCTGCTCTGAAGTGAGCTGAGGGGGGTAGCATACAGCATACAGCAAACTAAGGACAGCCAACACTTCTGGAGATTCAGCGTACGTCCTGAGGGAAGCTGGTTCTCTTTGAGGAGGTTTTATTTCTACTGGAGCTGCTGCATGTCTCAGAATTTAGTTCTGATCCAGATTCCAGAACCAGACAGCTGGACTGCTGGAGAGCTGCTGAGGCAAGACCTGAAACTTCAGATAACTGATATGCCTGAATACACCAACAAAAAACACATGAGAAATGATAATAACAATAATAATTGTAATGTCTTAGCAGAGGTGCTTTTACAACACAACAGAACACAGTGAAACAACATAAAGCAATGAAGCTAACTGAGGTCAGACTGACTGCTCTTACCCAACAGCTGATGGGGACCTTTGACCCTGGGGTGAGTAGAAATTTAAAAAAAAAAATACAAAAAAAGAAATAAAAGTAATGTGAATAAAAACATGATTCAGTGCAGAATAAACAGCAAATAAAGGGTGAGCAAAGCGATGAATGGTGGCAGAAAAACGAATATTTGCAGGAAACTGTTCGTACCAGATGGCTCTAATGGTAACCTTTAACGCTGGGGTCAGGTCCTGAGGGACAAACTCACAGTGGCAGCTCTTGTTGTCATCAGCCATTTCTTCTCCAGGAAGGCTGGCCTCTAAAACGGCAACAAACACAATGGGTGTAATTGACCACACACACACGGGACTGCAGAACCTGTGGGACCCAACATGTCATTACAACCAGAGACCTCAAACTAGTTCACCTGATGTCTGGACAAAAAAAACAAACAAACAACTAAAACAAAACTAAAATGTTGTCACAAACATGACCTGCAGGTGGCAATACAGCCCCTCACGTCATAATGCCCAACAAGACGCCACTGCATGTAAACAAAGTAGGAAATGTGACTCACTTTTATCCTGCTGAAACGCTCATGGTAACCAAAGCTCTGCACACAGACTGAAACCCCATGTCCCTGTTTACCTCTGCCCTGATGGCCTCCCTCTGTGTATTCTGGTGTGTGTGAGTGTGTGCTGACCTGGGGAGCTCTTCTGTCTGAACTCTTCATCCTGCATCTCTATCAGCACTACAGGAGGAAGAGGAGAGAGGAAACACCTTCATCACGGAAGATCACACTCATCATCACAGTCACCCAGAAAACCAAACAATTACCAAATTTTATACCTGCAAGTGTTAGCCTAGATTAGCACACACCGAATGTGCTACCCTAGCTTAGCACATCGAATGCGTTAGCCTAGCTTAGCACACACAGAATGTGCTAGCCTAGTTTAGCACACACAGAATGTGCTAGCCTAGCTTAGCACACAGAATGTGTTAGCCTAGCTTAGCACACACAGAATGTGCTAGCCTAGCTTAGCACACAGAATGTGCTAGCCTAGCTCAGTGTGACTGGAAGATGAGGAACGCTGTGATCTGAAATGGATGCAGAGCTTAAACTTGACAGTCAGGTTGTAAGATCTAGCTTTTTTTAATGTGAGGCACTTCATCTAAAATAGACCCTATTTTATCAAGGAAGCTTTTTGAGACGGTAATCCATGCCTTTGATACATCAAGGCTGGATTACTGTAACACACTTTATTGTGGGGTTAGTGATGCATCCATCAGGCATCTGCAGGTTGCGCCTAATCCTAACCCTGCAGTGCGATGTTTAACTGGCACATAAAAATCTGAGCACATTTTTAATTAACTCATTTCAGGATCCTTTATAAATCTCTTAATGGCCTGACTGCCCCCCTCCCCCAAACTACTACAGCCATATACACCTGCCCGCTCCCCTAGGTCTGCCAATCAGCAGCTCGTTAAGGTACCAAAGACTAACTATAAATTTAAAGGTGGCTGTGGTTGTGCTGTAGCTGCTCCAAAATTGTGGAATGATCTGCCCTCGCACGTTAGGCAGGCCTCTTCTCTTTCTGACTTTAAGACTCTTCTAAAAACACATTTTTTATTTCAAATTGCTTTATAAAGGTGGTATGGTAAATGGACCCAACAATGGACTATGGGAAGCGCTTCGGCTCCCTTAAGGCCAAAACAGAGAGCATGAGGAGGAGCTTCTTCCCTCAGGTATCTGGTCCCTCAACCAGGTGTAGGACTGGACTCTCTCTCATTCCTGTACATCAGCAACTGTTTATTCCCACACGGTTTATTTGCACAGTTTTATAACTTCTTAAATTTGTTTATCTGCACGTTCTATTTGTTTTTATTTATAATTTTTTACCTTCAATTTTACTGTAAATTTTTACATTTTAAACGTGTATATTATGAAAATTTCTGGCTAGTTTAGTTTTATGTTTAGTTTTTTATGGTCGGGCATTGCACAGCAACAAGCATTTCACTGCATGTCGTACTGAGTATGATTGTGTATGTGATAAATAAAATTTGAATGTGTAAATATTAGAAGCAGAGGGAAGTTTATTTGAAGAGCAGAACCAAAGGGATCCCACGAGCTTTTCTATAACGCTGGAAACAGAGGGTTTGCGTGAACTTTACATGAACGCCTTGAACTTGAATGCTAGAAGTCTGATATCACGTCTCAGATTACAGTTCCTGAAACATCCTATCCGGTCGTTAAGTCTGACGTCACTAGCCGTGTCTGGGCCTAAACTCCGCTGCAGTCCATATATCAAACGATCACTATGGCATACTTGAGAGTTGAAAAACTGTCTAAAGTCTTTCATCTTTAATAAAATGATCAGCGTTCTGATCTACCAGGTGTAACAATTGAGTTTAACATCCAGGCATCCATGAAAACGGAATTTATGACATTTAACAGAGTTAGAAGTTAGCAGGGAGTTAGCTCGCTAGCTTCTATCTAAATACAATATAGCATGTCCTGGCTGCGGGGTTTTGGAACAATTAAACGTACAGCTCTGTTATCACTTCCAGCATAAATAAAGACAGAAAATTAAACAGCAGTGACGTTTGTAGGGTTACTGAAGTTTGGCTAGCTGGTATATAATGATGTGCTACGTGACCGCTAGCGACACAGCTATGTTAGCATAATATAAAACAAGCTAACTTTTTCACTCGATAAAGTTAACGTGAGTGTTCTCGGTGGTCAGGAACAAATGTAATCGCATGGCAGGATGCTGTAAAAGGACCAAACTTCAGCCAGGAGAACAACTGAGATAATCCATCCACAATACAAGGTTAGTCATTCATATACTGCTGCATGGGCTGGGCTGTAGTTACATCCTAAGGTTTTAAAAACTGAGCTTAAATAAATGATTAGTGGTAATAAAAGCCGAGGGAGGTCAACAGGGATCACTGACTGTTTTAGGAGCTTTTTGAGATTAAATAGAAGAAAATACAAAACATTAATTATGTTAACAACACAAAAGCCATATTAAACGCAGACTACTTTAGGCCCGGAAGTAGGATTCGTCGCGTCATCACTGAACAACCGGATAGCTAACTGCTCATTAAAGGGACGTCCACACAGGAAGAGGCTGCACAGCCAACGGAGAACATAAATATCAAAAGCATTCAGGTAAACAATGACACGTGAAATGACTTCGAGGTGGGCGGGTCCTTTTGTTAACCGCCTAAACCCAAACTCTTTCATGGCAGCATTTTTAATTTCTCTTTGCTATTTGGGCTGATTGGGACCTGATGAATGTAAAAACAAAGAATTACCTGATTTTTTTTTTTACTGGATTTTTGTTTCTGAGAAACATGAGATCGACATAAGAGAACATTAGTTTCAAATTTCGATCGAGCAGTGGCAGTATAATGTCCTCGTAAGTGGATATCAGGCACTTGTAGAGCAACATTTAGTATTTTAGTCTAGACGACCCAAAATGTGATGTCCACATACAGTATGTGGACGCCAGGTCCTAGGAGGTTAAACTGATCTCAGCTTTGAGGACAGAGAGGAACCACTGACTGACACAGAAGAAGGGGGAAGTCCACCAGAGGATCATCCAACTGTCAGCTACAAATGCATCCACTGTGGGCAAGGTTTGAGAGTCTGCTCTAAATGCTGATATAAAAACCATTGAAACTGTAGCTAGAACCAGTTAAACCAGTCAGAATCATTCACACACCAAGACTCCACTGATGCTCAGATGATGAGCGTGGATCAGTCACACCTCCAGTTTCCTCTCACGACCTTCTCCTCTTCCCTTGTTCTTTGTTTTTCCCCTCTCTCATTTGTCCTGCATGTGTCACAGTGACCTCAGGTGATGTCTAATGAAAACAAAGAGCTGGGTTCCTCTTCCATTTTTGTAGAAGAAATTCTTTATTTGACACAAATGTTCGTCCCACAGCAGTGTGGAAACGGCTCCGGCCATGCTCACATCCACTGTGAAGCCTTGCACATTTGCACCTGTACCATTGTAGTGTTGTGAGCCCACACATGGCGCCATGGTACTTTTTTTATGTCCGATACCGATATCATAAATATGGATCTGCCGATACGATATGATTTGTTTTTTTAATGTCTCGCTGTTCATACTCACATTTTAAAAAACAAAACAAGCTGTTCTGTTACACTGTATGCAAAAAATACACCACACCCCAAACATTTCACAGTTCAGCAATAATGATCTTTGTATTTACATATTTAGGAGAACTTTAAATCTAAGTATTTAAAGTAAAATTCAAAAATAATTTAAATTGCAATTTTATGCAGATTTCAAAAAGGTCTTTGTTCTGAAAAAAGTGCAATATCAGCACAAAATAATCTTTATATTCAACAACTAAAAAAGTGGAGCCTTTTACACTTAAAGCTGAACATAAACAGACATCCAGAGTGGAAAACAGTGAATAAATGCACACTTCATGACATCACCTTTGTCGGGTGGTGCAGTGTGAGCTGTTTCTATCACTTTTAACCTGAGGCTAAATTTTGTGTCATTTACATACATATAAACACTTATTTTTAATAGTTTTTTTCTGAACCATGAAACTGTTTGGCCATGTGTCGTCCCTGCGTCGGGAGCACATGCTGGGCTCTCCAAATCACACACAAACAGTATCCCACATTCCTGATTTTTAGTTCACAGACACTTCTTATAACGACTAACTTCTCCTGAAACGTTGGAGGGTTTTATACAGTAAAGTCACAGGATAAAAATAATTATCAGTCATTTGTTAAAATAATAATTTTCTGTTGTAACCCTCAAACTGAATGGTAATGTAACCACAAATATTTTTCACAAACTAAAACCATATTCCACATTATGTCTTTACTCAGACTAAACTGGATCCGCACTCCGTGTCGGCGAATGCTCGCAGCATGGGGGCGGCGGGTTTGTCCCCGATATCCGATCCAGTAATTTAGGTCAGGATCGGATCGATACCGATGCTGTATATCGGATCGGTCCGGTCCAGAAGAGTTTGTTCACCCTGAGTCATCATCACTGGAGCTCAGATTCCTAATTTCACCTTTGATTTTAATCTGATGATCGAACTCTGACCGGACAGATCAGAGGAAGTTTGCTGATGGAGGTGAGACAGCAGCAGACTCTGGATCAGTTTGAATCCAATAAAAACTGTCCTGCCATGCAGGTGAACCCTGATTCGCTGATTCCTTCGGGTGGATTCGGTTCCAGGCTGACAAACACGATGATGATGATGATGAAGTCTTTTAAACCAAACATTTAATCTCAAAATAACAGCAGTTTAGTGACTAATGCTTAAGTAAAGACAGACCACATCTTACAGAGTGTCCTGGCAAACAGGACAAGCTGCTGATTTTTCTGAACATGTGATTTTAGTGCAGATTTTTGGGCGACTGGTATCGACACTGCTCGGCTTGGCCGGTCTTACCTTCAGAGTTCTGACGGGATGCTGCTCCCCGGATCCTGAAGGCCTGCCTAGTTCTGCTGCGTTCTCCAAAGCTCCAGCTCTTTGGAACCTTGCTGGGACTCTCTTCCAAATTGGGCTCTATGCTGGGGGACCGCCGCAAGGCCTGGACTCCCCCAGGACCTCCAGGTACTCCAGGACCAATGCCAGGAGCAGGACCCATTCCAGGTGCAACTCCTGGGCGAACGGGAGGAACCAGTAAGAAGGAAGGAAGACAGAGTGCTACTTCAGGTCCTGATTACAAGTAACGTTCTTTGCTTAAATGGCTCCTCCTGGATATGACTGCCAGTCCTTGATGTGCACAAACCAGTAACCACCAGCTCACAGGGGTGCAGTGGTTACCTATGTTGCCTCACAGCCTGAGAGTCCTGGGGTTCCACCCATCCTATGAAATAGGCCGACCCCCCCCCCATCACCACCAACGATCAGTGGATGGCGTGTTGTCTGACTCTGTGTTTAAAGACTCATTTAGCACGTAGATGACATCAGTATCAGGATTACTCCCAGACCAAAAACATGAACGTTAAAAAATATCAACACCCACCATGCTGAGGAGAACCTTTGCCTTTGGTTCCTGAACTCCGAGGAGACGAGAAGACCCTCTCCTTTAGACTCACCTTCTGACTGTGGGAGGGAGGAGAAAGACCAGGAGATTTTAGTCACATCTGGAAAATGATCAGCTCTTAAATCCCTTTGGGTTATGGTCATATAATTACATAACTAACCAAACAGATACACTTTAGTCCTCATAGGTGATAAAAACTAAGGAGCTTGGAAAGAAAAAGACTGGAAGACATTTCATGTCTCATTCAACAGTGTTATTCAGATGTGAGACCTCACCCCATCAGGTTTGGTCTTACAGTGGTTTCACCCGAAACCTCTGGTGATAACGACCGACACCTTTTTTCACTCCTTGGCTCATGAGATGAGGAACGTGATTAATAATGGGTCAACGAATCTCAACCAAGACACCTCTTTGATAAGAGGTGCATGGTCATCACAAACATGTAAGAATTCCAGGTGCTTTCTTTCCAAGCTCCTCATAGTACCATGACAGACACTCAGGTGTTAAACCTGGAAATATTTCTTTGTTCCCTGATTGCAGAGACTCAGAGGAACCATTTAAAACAAATTTAGTGTGATTGCTGCTGATGACTTAGACAACAGAGGGTTCACCTCTTGAACTTCACCAAAGGAAATATTCAAATAGAAGGATGTAAGGCAACATGGATCTAAAAGGCTTTTTGTGACAGCTGAACGTTTCTAAAGCAATGGTTGAATAAGATGTTGGGAAATCTGATGTGAGTCCTTGGAGAAGAGACCACGGACCTGGGAGAAGGTTCAGGCTGAACATCCTTCCTGCAGGGAGATAAAGATTGCCATTAATCACTGACTTTAAAGACGATTATTCATCAGATTATTAAAGATTATTATTGTTCTTCAGTTAAACACCAATGAGCCAAACAGTGACATGGTCAGCATGACATCACCCTTTGGTTTTGGATGTTCTAAATTCAATTCAGTTTAGTTTTATTTATTTAGCTCCAAATCACAGCACCAGTCGCCTTAAAGCGCTTTGTATCGTAAGGTCAAGACTCTAGAATCATATGACCCCCTATGAGCAGCACTTTGGCGACAGTGGGAAGGAAAAACTCCCTTTTAACAGGAGAAATCCAGCAGAACCAGGCTCAGGGAGGGCGGGGCCATCTGCTGTGATTGGTTGGGGTGAGAGAAGGAAGACAGGATAAAGACATGCTGTGGAAGAGAGACAGAGATTAATAATAACTATTAAATGCAAAGTGTCTGTTAGCATTTTAGCTCCTGAAATGTTCTCAGGTGTTCTCAGGTTAGTTCGAGGAAGGGTTTTTGGCTCACTGGTGCAGTTATGGTGCAGTCGTTGTGTGGAAACTTTCAGACCTGAATGAGAGTCCGGATTTGTTCTTGAGGTTCCTTAGTAAGTCCAACTGATTGAGAGGAGGGATCAACCTGCAGACACAAATTTTACAATCACACAGTTTCAGAATCCCTGAGGAGTGATTGGCTGCAGGTGCACAGGTGCAGTCTTACCTATACATGGGGACAGACACTGTCCTCTCGTAATAATCCCAGGTAGATGTCAGATCGGTTCGGCTCAGATTTGTGGCGTAAACCCTCCAGGCCGCCTGTCGACACAGGAAGGAAGCAGCTGACTCCTAAAAGGTCTCACGTGAGGGTGCCAGTGTAGATTCTCACCGCACAAAGTCAGTGTGATGTCAGAGCATGGGCTCACCTGTACGAGTCCTGCTGCGGGATTTCGTCTCTTCTCAAAGTGTTTCTGTCTGTGCTGCTCCTGAACCTTCAGAGCAAAGCCAGAACCCAGAATCCCCTGAAGAGAAACACAGACAGGTGAGCTGGTACGAACAGGTGTCTCAGGTAAACCCAGGTAGATAAAAAACTGACTCACAGCCGGCAGAGCAAAGAATGAAACTCCAATCAGAGTGAAGGTTGCAGCCAGCAGACGTCCATTCCAGGTGATGGGGAACTTGTCTCCATAACCGATGGTTGTCAAGGTGATCTGAGACACAAACAAACAGACTACATCGTCCCATCACGGAGGAGGAAACACCAGTTGTTTCAGCTCAGGTGTACACACCTGTACCACACCTGTGCTGGATGTTCTGTCTGTACTGATTAGGTGAACGTGTTTTTTACTGCCATGCTTTTAGTTCATGTATTTTGTTTTGCACTATGCATATTTTATATGTCATTCGGTCATTTATTGCGGGAATTCTCATGTAGGAACTTTTGTACTGCATTGGTTCTGCTGGTGCACCTGAGTGAGGTGCACGGCCATGTTGAAGCAGGAGAGGCCAATTTAAGTTGGAGGAAGTTCAAATGTTCTTAAAAGTATGTGTGACGTGCTCAAAGCATGGGTCAGCCAGCGAGGTATGTTGTAGTACAGCGGTCCCCGACCTTTTTTGCTCCACAGACGGTTTAATGTCAGACAATATTTTCACGGACCGGCCTTTAAGGTGTGGCGGATAAATACAACAAAATAAAATAATACAACCGAGACAAAAGCAGTGGGATTTTGTAACAATAAGCGTGAATTCACTGTGTAATTGTGTAACTTTATTAGCAGCGTCCTCCTGAAATGCACCAACAACACAGAGTAACATCCTCCTCTCTGCCCCTTAATGCTCTCCGGTTGCTATGGTAATGGATAAATATTTATTTCAAAATAAGACACACAACTATAACACGGGAAAGATCCAGGGAAACAGTTAACGATAAAAACCCTGAAAACCATAAATTTCACACCCGCTGCTGTAGATCATTTATGTCTCTGTTTCACCCGTCTTACTATTTCATTGAATTTTATGCTGTGTTTGAGTTCGACGATGGCGTCATTTGTGATCAAGGTGATGCTGTAACAACATCAATCCCGAGATTTTACAGCTCAGTAAAGCCAACCTCATGCCATCAGCAAGTGATGCTGTTTATACCTGCTGCTTTGCAGCTCAGATAACTAATCACAGGCAAACAGCACCTCACCTGATCTCAGGTGAGGTGTGGGTGTGTATGTGCATTCATCTTACCAGTCCCCACCAGAGGGCGTCAGCATATGTCTCAAACTGTTCATTATCTTCTTTTTCTGCCAGGTAAACGAGGAAACTTGCCAGAATGAGACACAAGAAGCCGATATACCAGGCTGTGATCAGCTCCTGCAGTGGGCGAGAGACTAGAGGGTAAAGTCAGGACAGAGGAGAGCCCGGGAGGCATCCTGCTCATGTGCTGAAACGCCTCAACTGGCTTCTAGTAGCACAGCAGCTACTTTAAGCTCCTCCACAGCTCGAGGTTCAGAATCTATGACACACTGAAAGTTAAGGATATTCCCTTAAGACTAATTTCCTCGTCCGTTAAGAGAAAAAAACAACTACACCTGTGAACTAGTCTAAAAGTAAGAAAAAAGTTTCGACTACATGACCTGACCGTTTATGACATCGAGTTTTGGAGGTGCCGGTCAGAGAGTGCACCCTGAATTTCTAAAAGTTTGTGGACTTGATGAATTTGAAGGGTGAGCCCTGCGTTTATGAGCTCTCCACCATGGACATGAAGCTGGTGCATGGTGACCTCTGCAGCACCAACTTGAATAGAATAAAATAGAATAGATCTTTATTGTCCTGTTACGAGAACAATAAAAGACAGTTTGGAATCTCTGTGTTAGCAGCCTGTAGATTTTTACATTGAAATTCCTTCAGAGAAACCAAAAAAGAGACTTAACGATGTTCCTGCACAGATCTGTACAAGTTATATACGCCATATAAAGGAGCAGCGTGATGATCGGTGGTAGTGCACACAGGGAGAGACCAGAGGTAGGAATGTTGGTTCCATTATAATAAATACAGTGAAAATGTCCGTACACGTTAACAGCACAGTCGACGTTAAATCAGGGTGGAGGCAGGACATGATGGGCTGGAGGTAGCTGGGCTCTGCTGGTTGGCAGTGTAAAGGTTTCACTGGAAGAAGGTTTCTGGATTGTTTTCCACAAACCTTTTCTCCGTACATATTGCAGTTGATTGTGTTGGTCCTTCTCCAGTTGTTGCATCTGAGGTGGACAACTTCATCCCCAGATGTAACTAACCCAGATGCTCCTTAGTTGACTGGCTAGTTGAGGGTTAATGTTTTTCAAAATCATTTTAACAGCATCACCTCAAATCAAATCAAATCAAATCACTTTTATTGTCACATCACATGTGCAGGTACATTGGTACAGCACATGTGAGTGAAATTCTTGTGTGCGAGCTTCACAAGCAACAGAGTTGTGCAAAATACAATAATGTAAACAAGCAAAATACAAGAATGGCTACATCTGAAACTAATAAATATATGTACAATATATTAGAGATGGCACGATACCACTTTTTTATGTCCGATACCGATACCGATATCATGAATTTGGATATCTGCCGATACCGATATGAATCCGATATAGTGTGTTTTTTAACCAATAAAACTGTTTTTTATATCTTGCTGCATTTTGTATAAGTTCATAGTCAAGTTTAAATAAACAACAGCACTAAAGCTATTCTGTTATACCTGTGTGTAAAAAGTACACTGCGCCCAAAATATTTCATAGTTCAGCAACACTGATCAATCTAATAAACTTAAACCTGCTCCATCCTTCCTATTCTGGTATTTTAAAGAGTACTTAGCAGAAATATTAAGCAACCTAACTAATAGGGTTGCAAACTACCAGCAAAAAAAAATAAAAAATAGGGAACCACCCCTCACGCTCCACTTTGTGATGCTTAATCGATGTAATCAACTTTAATTTGATGCAGTGTGAAAAAAAATGCACAGAAATCAATTATTTTTTCAAGAATAATTAAATAGATTCAACATCTTTCTTCAACAGAATTGCAGACTGCACAGATGGTACTTTCCCAAAGGAAAAAGTACTATAGCTTACTAGGGTATATTAGACTTAACAGTTACTATATACAGTAATGGACTTCTATTCATTTTACATCAGATTAAAACTTTGGGTGTAAGATTCAGATAATTATTTATTAAAAGCTAGACATTTTAAATGAGAATAAGAAAGAAAAGTATGTCTTTGTGCCCCCTTTTCCCTGTTAATGCCCTATCGGCCCCCTTGGCTAAACTTTGCTAGATCCGCCCCTGCACAGTTACCAGCCGTCAGCTACGTAGAAAAAGATCCGAGTAGAAAGTAATATTAAATAAATTCTAACAACAGCTATCAAGCTTAAACGTGCTGCTGTTGTTCAGCCGCTGGTTTCCTCTTTCTGGTGCAAAGTGGGCCAAAAACAAACAAGAGAGACGGACTCGCGACAGAAAAGCCGATCAGCTGATCATGACAGTTCATGAAGAGCGGCAGGAAGAGGAGAGAGAGAGAGAGAGAGAGAGCACTGCCCCATATATCAGTTGTTAAGCTAACGGGGAATGCTTACAAACATCAGAGAGGAACTTACACACTGCTTTACTTCTCTCGGATAACTTCCTCGGAGATGAAATGCTGGTTGGTAGCGAGACTACAAATACACACAGCCGCTGTATCACGTGACCACACTGCTCCGACGTCTACGGTTATGAGACGAGTTACCCATGTCGCAATTTTGTGAGGTGCTTTTTGATATTAATGGATCGGATTACATTTTATTTCTCGCCGATATCCGATCCAGTAATTTAGGTCAGTATCGGACCGATACCGATACGTAATATCGGATCGGTCCATCTCTACAATATATAATAGTATATGCATTTCTGGATGTGTATACTAAATATCTTTCTACGTGTGTGTGTGTGTGTGTGTGTGTGTGTGTGTACACATATTTTACAAATTAAATAGAGTAAACAATAAATAACTTATAGTTGGCTTCCAGCGTTTGCAGAGTGATTGATACGTGTAGGCAAAGTCTCTGATGCTCTCAGCCTCTTTTTGGACTGTGCTCCGCACTCTCTCAGCCAGCTCGTCCTCATAGTCTCCTGACAGGAACGCATTATTTCCAGGTTTGGATTTTATGGGATCCCTTGAAGTTCCAGGTAGAACATTACAAAGAGTAGCCATAAGCCCCTCGTCAGTGAGTGGGTTGAGGCCCAAGAAGTCTTCCCCCCTCTCTACGTACTGAAGAGGATCAGACTCATCAGCTTTTCCAAATGTTGGAAAAGGCACTTTGATAGGCCTCTTCCCCCCATTCTACTCCTCGTTTCACCTCGGACGGTTAGCTGGTTACAACCTGGGTTGGCCAGCCACTCTTAGATGTTTCTCTCCAAATATGTCGTCTGAATAGGTTTGCAACCCTGCATGTCCAGGTGCCGGGACAGAGAGAAGGATCCTCTTTTATCGGTTGGATGACATCAGGTATGAGTTTTGTGGTTATTTGAGTGTACTGGTCCTTTAAACTTCACTCGTTTGACAAGTTGTTTTCTGTGAGATTTGTGTTCATTTGTTCCATTTGAAAAACTGTTTTTTTTGTGTGTTCAGTGCTCGTTTTTAGCTCCTCCTCCTAGTCGTGTTGGTTCTCCACAGTTATTTAGGCCGTTCCAGAATATCCTGATCAGCAATATTTGATGACGTGAACAGATTCACTTCCTGTGTTCTTTAATCGATTTTCCAGGAGGAGAGTTGGACAAGTTTAAAGGAGCACCGAGCTCACTCAGATCCATAGCCTGCAGTGAATTATGGGAGGAGAGTTTCATTTGCTGATACCGTCTGGATTTCCAAGGGTGACCCAGCACTGGGAGCAGTTTTGTGTTTCTGTTGGGTTGTTTCAAATAAAGTTTTTTCTGTCTTTATTTAATGGGTTTATAATTAATGAATGAGTCCCATCCGAGGTGTCATTTTTCTATTTGTCAGTTTATATAATGAAGGTGTGGGGGTAGCAGTCAGGTACAGCAAACCTCACAAAGGATGTAAACATGTAACAGAGCTTACCACCCTCAGCATGAAACAAACCACGGTTTCTCTCATAAAACTCAAACGGATTCACACACTGAAAATACTCATCCTTTAACCTAAGTGTAGTTCACGGCTCATGTTTGGTCCACATTTTATCGCTCACCAGTCCACTGCAGTGACAAACGAAAGGCGTCTCAAACCAGCTGTGCACAGCTGCACACAAAGTACAGCCTGGAGCAGCGCCTCACTGCCACCTCCATCCACAAAGAAATCCTCCTGCGTCAGAGCCAGACGATCCCCGGTGCTTTCCACTGGCGTGCTTCTTTTGAAGGCTGTCAGTGGGGCCTTCCACCCAGAAACACTGGGCTGGTCCGCTCCGTGTCGAGGACCACTCCAAAAGGAATTGGGGGTGTGGCAGTGAGTTTGCATGAGGCGATCCGAGTTCAGAGCAGCAGACAAGTGAGCACTGGCCATACGTTCATCCTTTGATGAACACGCATACGAAGTCAGATTCCTTTGCAGAACGTAGATAATTCAGCATCGTCAGCAGGTTCCATTCCACACAGGTTCTGGTCCGCACAATCACGCATTCAGATCCACACATGGCTGAACGTCTTCATGCGTTCTTAAGTCCTTTGTCAGTTCTCCCAGTCACAGCTCGCACTTTCGCTATACACCTAATGGCTCATAACAGCAGCCCCACTGTCCTGCGTCCCCACATGTCTACAAACCAAATCCAAAAGACTGGATGGTCAAACCCCCACGATCACTCCAAAGTCCAAGGTCCAACGATCACTCTGAGCCTGCTTCCTAACACTGGAGACCACAGGTGTCGAACTCCAGGCCTCAAGGGCCGGTGTCCTGCAGGTTTTAGATGTAACCTTGATACAACACAGCTGATTTGAAGGCTAAATGACCTCCTCAACATGTCCTGAAGTTCTCCAGAGGCCTGGTAATGAACTAATAATGTGATTCAGGTGTGTTGACCCAGGGTGAGATCTAAAACCTGCAGGACACCGGCCCTCGAGGCCTGGAGTTGGACACCCCTGCTGTAGACCAAAGTTTCCTGAGATCTGGTCATCTTCCAGGATACTCTGACAGGTAAACAGTAGGGGCGCAGCGAAACACATAATTCACGGTTCAATATTTTTTTGATACAAAAAAAAATGTTCATGCTTTTTGAATTTATCATTTATTAAAATTATAAATATATATTTTAACTCAAACGTACAGTTTTTAAATTTAATGTTGCTGAAACAACAAAGGGATAAAATAATAAATCTATCTGATCGAGAAATCACTCACTGTTAACGAGCGTTAACGAGCTAACTGCGCTAACGCAGTAGTTCCCACCCATGTAATTGAGCATTGCGTGGCACATCCGACATACTGTTTTACTTTAGTCCATGACGCGCTTACCTTCAGGGTCATACGTCACATGAAAACCAAAATAGTTCCAAACGCCAGATCTGAATGAGGGTGGGGGAGGTTCAGTTTGCCATGTTGCAATGAGCTTAGCTTCTGTCTGCTAGCTTGCGCTGCGCTCAGTGAATCTGTGCTCGACAGTGCAGCCTAGGCGGAGTAGTCGAACGCAGATCCACTGAGCACTCAACACAGACAGCATCGTCAGAAGAAAAGTTGATAAAATAAATTACAAATTTTGTATTGTTCGATACATATGCGTACCGAACCGAAAGCACTGTATCGAACGGTTCAATATCGGTACGAGTATCGTTACACCCCTAGTAAACAGGTAACCAACAAAAATAGACTGACTCTAAATTTTATTTATACTCTTTTCTATTTTGAGGTATATGTGAAACATTGATCTAATCAATAACTCCGATCAATACAGATGAAAGTAATAAACCAATACTGCAGCTCAGTGTTGTGGTTTCTCTAATACTGTAGACCTGGTGGGGTTAAGCACAAGCTTTGACCTTTGACATCCATCAGTCTGGGTGCCAGCTGAGCTCAGTGGGTGAGCGGGCGACCACACAACTGCAGAGCAGCAGCTCGGGTTCGAGCCCGACCCGTGGCCCTTTGCTGCGTGCCATCTCCTCCCTTTCTATTCAACCTTCACTTTCAACATCCAATAAAGTCATAAATACTTTAAATAGTGGACCAATCTTAGATCTGTAAATATTCTGATTCTTTGATTTCAGTCAGTTTTTAAACTTTCGTGTCCTGTTCCAGATTCTCAGTGTTTCATCACAGTGAGCATTAGCTGATCTGTAACCACCGACAAGTCAGCGCCACGTCAGCTGGTGTCACTCAGACATACGAGTTTTACCTTGCTGTGAGCGTAGACCACCGATCCCAGCAGCTTCCAGGTTCCTCCTCGGCGATCCATACGGATCATTCGGAGAATCTGAAGGAACCGCAGTGACCTGATGGCCGACGTAGCGAAGACGTTTCCCTGAGTCCCTGCAGCCAGGACTGATATGGATGCTATGAGCACCATGATGTCTGCAGACAGACAGGTAACAGGTAGGTCAGAGATGGCTTTTCTAATTGTACCATCATGAACTGGTCCTTTCCATTAGCACTGGTAGTTATTCTTCTAACATTGCCCCACTGGCACAAACCCACGGGGTTTTCTGTTTTCATTACAGACGCTGCAGCTTGGGTCTGTCTTTGAAATCATCATGTTACTTATCACTTTTAATAATAATGATGATAATACATTTTCTTTTATGTACCTTTCAAAACACTCAACGTCACCTTACGCAGAAGAAAAGACAATGCAGTGTCTCAAAAATGAGTTAATAAAACAAGATTGGACCATTGTATATAAACACAAGGATGTCAATAAAGCCTATGAGGCATTCTTAAGCATATTCATGGCTTTTTTAGAGGAAAACAGCCTACTTATTGAAGTCAACAGGAAAGATAAGTATGCAGGAAGACCATGGATGACAAAGGGACTGCAAAATGCCTGTAAAAAAAGAACACCTTATATAGAGAATTCATTAAAAAGAGAACTACAGAATCGGAAAAGAAATATAAAAAGTATAAAAATAAATTAAGAGAACTTGTAAAAAAGAATACTTCATCAAAAAGTTAGAAGATAATAAAGAAAGCATGAAAGGGATATGGAAGGTATTAAATAGTATAATAAAAAATGGACCAAGGACTAATGACTACCCTGGGTAGTTTATGGAAGGGACAAATACTATTAGTAAAATGAACGAAATAGTAAATGGATTCAATAAATTTTTTGTAAATATAGAGCCAAAACTGGCTGCAGAAATAAAGGTTGGTATGATAGGAAGGGAGGAAACATTGAAAGGAATGCAAGTTCAATGTTTCTAAGAGCAGTGGAAGAGAAGGAGATATATGATACTGTCAGTGGACTTAAGAACAAAACGAGTACTGACTGTCATGATATTGATATGGTAACGGTAAAGAGAGTAATTGATGGTATTGTAAAACCACTACAATATATTTTTAATTTGTCTTTCCAGGACGGGGTTTTTCTACAAAAAATGAAAGTTGCAAAAATTATTCCCATTTATAAATCAGGTGAAAAGCATTGTTTTACAAATTATAGGCCAGTGTCGGTACTCTCCCAGTTTTCTAAGATACTGGAAAAACTATTTCTAAAAAGATTTGATAGCTTTGTGGATAAACATGATTTGTTGGCAAATTGCCAGTATGGGTTTAGAAATAATAGATCAACAGTTTTGGCATTGATGGATTTAATGGAAGAAATAACAGAATGTATGTGTTAGAGTTTGTATTGTTGATTGTCATTTATGCTTAGAAATATTTAACCATAGATGCTTAGAGGTGTATAATCAATTGTGTAGTGATAAGTTGTGTGATCTTTAACAGGCTACAGAGGCTTGGTGTGCATTCCACACCTACATCCTGGGAGCATGAGAGAGGTCATACCTTCTCTTATTGTTTTATGGTAGGATTAACGTAGCTACGTCTGTTTTAGTCTAAGTGCTTTTCTGTTTAGATGAACTGCTGGACTTCCTCACCGGGGGGGGGGGGTCTAGTCTACCCTCTTCCTGACCAAGGATGTTTGACCCTTTGATCAGCAACACACACATACACACACACACACACACACAGGCAAGGTACTCTTTGTTTGTATGTAGACGTCGTATGTTAATGAACCTATGCATATTCATGTAACCTCAATAAAAGGACAGTGTTACGGGAGGACGGACGAGAGCTACTGGGGCCAAGCGAAGGGACGGCGCTCTGTCCAGTCTCTCCCGTGCACGAGTACCATGAAGAAGTTTGCCTACTTGCGTCTTGCTTGCAGTGTAATTATATTGTCTTAACGTTCCAGCGAATAGGTTCAAGCTACAAACCTATCAGTATGGATAACAAGAAGTATGCACTAGGAGTCTTTCTAGATCTAAAAAAAGCATTTGATACTGTTGACCAGGAAATTCTAAAAATCAAACTGGAAAAATATGGGTTCAGGGGTGTGCTACTGGATTGGATAAACAGCTATGTGATGAATCGACAGCAATATGTACAAATAAATGAGATTAAATCTAAAATGATGGATATTGAATGTGGAGTACCTCAAGGATCAGTATTAGGTCCGAAAATGTTTATTATGTATATAAATGATATTTGTAAAGTATCGAAGATACTAAAGTTTGTAATTTTTGCAGATGATACCAATATACTTTGTTCAGGTGCGGAATTTCAACAGGTTTTGGAGGTGATCACACAGGAGTTGAAGATATTAAAGAAGAAAGAATAGAAAGAATAGAAACAAATTGTCCTTAAATTTAAATAAAACAAAATTCATGTTATTCGGAAACTATAAGAAAAACATTAACATTGAAATTTGTGTCGATAATATATATCTAGAAAGGGTTAATGCCATAAAATTTCTTGGTGTGATCATTGATCATAAGGCCTGTTGGAAATCCCACATCACTTATGTGAGGGGAAAGTTAGCACGGGGCATTGCTGTCTTGGGGAAAGTAAAACAATTTCTGGATAGGAAAACATTGTATATGTTATATTGTTCTTTGCTATTACCATACATGAGTTATTGTGTAGAGGTTTGGGGAAATACATATAAAAGTAATATTCAGACTATAATCATAATGCAGAAAAGGGCCATTAGACTAATAAATCAGGAGGGGTATAGGGCTCACACAAACGCACTCTTTATTAGGACGCAAGCTATAAAATTCCAGGATCTGGTGAAGTTTAAAACTATATAAGGTAAGGAAAGGGATGCTCCCAATCGAAATAAGTAAATGGTTCTTAGAAAGAGAAGGGAGGTATAATTTTAGAGGGAAGTGGAATTTAAAATTACAAAGAGTAAGAACAACGTTGAAAAGGATGTCTATTTCAATAGCGGGAGTTAAATTCTGGAATGAGTTAAAAGAAGAAATAAAGGTCAGCAGTGATATAAACCAGTTTAAAATAAAACTCAAAAAAGAAATTTTAAATAAGTATAAGAATGAAGAAAATGCAATTAACCCAAGACAGCAGTCAAACTCATGTTTATTTTCTTCTGCAAATTAGCAAATCTAAATATAGTTTCAGTTGAACATGTGAAAATATTTTTTTGAGATGTTATGTTCTAAGTTGAAGGCATTGTATACGTTTTTGTTGTTCAAATTTAGATGATGAGGATGTAAACCTGTAAACCTCCTTTTCAAACAACTGTATGGAATGATTTTATGAAACGTTGGTGAATGTATATGTTTGAAATAAAAAAGAACTGAACTGAATAAAACAACAACAGACATAAATACCAATTTGATAGGGTTTGATTTGTTTGTGGAGGACGAGTCGAGATCTTTTATAGATTTTATGTTCCAGGCAACAACCTTTAGCTTTAAGCTGACTGAAATAAACCATGGTGCAACACAGAAGGAGCCAAGGCGTCTAAAATGTCATCAAGTCCATCATTAAATGAGCGTTTAATCAGGGAAGGACAGAGGATTTATACTTGGGAGGCAGTCAGTACGACTCAAAAGAGTGTTCAAATTAATGCCCCTGATGTTGCAAAATGAGATGACAAATGAAGTTAAATTAACATTAAAGATATTCACATGTGGTCAGAGGTGGGGAGATAAGCTGTTGTACAGCAGGGGTGGGGAACTCCAGGTGTCCTCCGGGTGTTAGATATCACTCTGTGTCACCCAGGATTAGTTCATTAGCAGGCCTCTGGAGAACTACAAGACATGTTGTTGACTGGATCCTACCCAGGCTACCATGTGGCAAGAGGCAGGGCTAACACAGACAGCCATTTACATTCACACCTACGGCCAATGTAGACTCCCCAGTTTACCTAACCCCACTAACTGTGTGTCTTTGGACTGGGAGGAAGTCGGAGTACCTGGAGAGAACCCACACAGACCAATGACATCCAGACAGCAACAGAACGCTGGCAGAGAGTCGGAGAGGGCGACTGTGGCCAGTGGACTACGTAGGAAAAGCAGGGTAGTCCAGATGAGCACAGACCCCCAAAACAACACGTTAATCCACAAAGCTGCTGAAGATGAACCACGGGAGGGCTTCGGACCAGTGAGAACACAGGTTATGGGTGGGAGTTAACAAACATTAACAACAGGTAATACAAGGCTCACCAACATGCCAGCAGCAGCTAGTCGCACCAGCGTTCACTCCCACGAAGAAGCTGTTATGAAGACAACACCCAGATTTCCTTCCCTCTTAAACCCGCCTCCTACTCTCTAACCTGCTGTTGAGCTGATGTTAAAACCTGGCTCTCACAAAAAGTCCTCAAACTCAATGAAAGCAATGTTTTAGTGATTTATCCCACTCACTGACAGACCATGACATTTCCCACTGTCCCTCCATACCTACATGTTGTATAAAAAACATCCGTAAGACGACTGCAGCAGCTGGACTCCTGGCACATGCATGTTTAGCTCAGTCTTAAACTTCCAGCTTAGTTCTGTTGATCAGCACCTTCTAATAATTCCAGACTGACTGCTTGACTCATACAAGCAACCGTGAATTCCCAGCCCCGAAACTCTGGAATCATCTTCCCAACTGCAAACATACTTCCTCTCATCAGCTGTTTCAGCTTCAGACTAACTTAAACTATAACTTTAACTTTAATTATTCAAATTTTTATTATTCATTTATTTTGTTGTACTTTTACTCCTGAGGGGGGGCTAACACACAGACAACCATTCACACTCACATTCACACCTATGGGCGAATGACCAGTTACCCCAACCCTATGATAACTCCTACATCATTTGTGTTGCATTGTGTACTCGCTGTGCAGCACTTGGTGAACATCTGTTGTGTTTAGATGTGCTGTATAAAAGTGTGCTGTGCAGTGCTGTCCCTGCCAACAGAGGCCTTAGTTGTGAGGCAGAGCTCTGGGGTTTGTTGTACGCTCTGACCTTGAGGTCCCCTCCTGTCTCTAATGTTTTTCACCTGTGGATAATCTCTTTCTCTGTACAACGATGGACAACGATGGAGTTTGTTTGGCAATACTGTTAAAACCCTTCTGAGACTGATGGGTAACATTTGCTTCTCTAAGATCACTTTGATGTCTTTCCTCCTGTGTTAACACGCCTGAATGCTGCAGAGCAGCTGATTTCATCAGCAGCTCATGAGTTCATCAGCAGTAAGGCTGGATGGTCCAGCTCCACCCTAAACACAGTTGGAGATGCTGAGCTGAAGGGAGTGAAGTGAAACCACAGCCTCCGCCTCCACAGGTCCTTCTCACCACCAACTGAACTGTCTCTAGTTGAGGGTGAAGAAGAGGAACAGAGTAGCAGAGGCTACACAGCAAACAAGCGGTGGGATCGACTTCGGCGTGACTTTTAAACTCTACAAACCTTCTGCAGAGGAAGTAAAGACCTTTAGAAGGTCCTCGGGGACATTTGTGGATGAAGCTCAGAGATAATGAAGCAGACGTGACACAGACTGAACGTGACCAACAAACGCACTCAGCTCTGACCCACCGATGACGCAGAAGGGCTTCCTGGCGAATTTCAGTCGACCTCGCCACCCTCTGTACCGACAGCAACACCCGGCAGCCCAGATCCTCACCATGTACTCCACCCCGAACACCACGATGGTCACCACCTCCTGTTACACCACAACAACATGCTGTTAAAGATCAGAGCAGCACGTATGTGCTCAGAAGAATATATCCAGCTTTATGTGAAGAATGAAACACTGCAGCTGAACAGAACCATCAATAACTTTATTTTATATTTGTTTCATCTCCGCTTCAAGCACCATCACGTGTGCGATCAGCTCCACGCTGAGCCAAACCTTAGACACTAGCTAAGCAGGGGTGTCCAACTCCAGGCCTCGAGGGCCTGCATGTTCTAGATCTCACCCTGGGTCAACACACCTGAATCACATGATGAGTTCATTACCAGGCCTCTGGAGAACTTCAGGACATGTTGAGGAGGTCATTAAATCAGCTGACATGTCTAAACCTGCAACACCGGCCCCTGAGGCCTGGAGTTGGACACCACTGAGCTAAGCCTTCTGCTCTGCTTTCTGTGATTTGCATAAAAAATATAGTACAAAATTTGAAAACATATTGTTTTGGGGTTTTTTCACTTCTTATATCTTCACAAGTTTTTAGGCTGTATTTTTTTGAAAGATGGTGCGTCTCTCTCAGACGTTTTTTTAACAGTGAAATCTGCATCAGTGTTTGAACATGACGGTCTTAAAAAAGATGGAAGTGTGACCCTTTCCCTGCCTGGATCTCTAATCTGGGACCGACACATTCAAACTATCTGCAGTTCAAATATGACAAAAACTTTATATATGTGCTGCTGAGGACTCGGGGGGCAGGGTGTCAATGTTACTAGTTGTCTTTTGCATCATACTGCAAAAGACAACTAGTAACATTTGTGATTTTTATATAAATATTTCACAATACTAAAAACAAAGTGTGTAGAATGATTTTCATCAAGAACTTGTTGGTCATAAAGAAAATGACATTTTCATTCAGGTTTCATGCTGTGTATCAGTAAATACGACTTTGTTGTACCACAAAAACAAAAATATATTATTAGATCGTCCAAATTCTGGAGTTTAACCGTGTTAAATATGTAGACTGACTCTACCAGCCTACTTTGTTGAGTCTAATATTTCAGTTTAAAGTATTACTGTAAACTAAAAACAGAACACATATTTAACACACAGCACAGTCTGATGCTACATGAAGTTTTATTATCATAATATCATTATATATATTATAATTAGCATCACTCTGACATTTCCTGTCTGTTCCAAAGATCCTGGTTCAGTTTCATTCCGAGTGGAAATTTCAGGCTTTTGTCTTTGGAAATATCCATGTTCAAACATTGCCTCGAGTTTCAGTGTTTGAGAAAAAGGCCTGAAAGTTGGTCGATCTAAAATATTCACATGGACATATGTGGACACAAATGTAAGCACACTGGCGACGGTCGAGCGTGATGTTTGCGTGGTTACCAGGATGTAGAGCGCGTCCTCGGAGCTCTTCTCGTACTCTCTGATGGTGGAGAACACAGACAGAACCAGGCAGGAGAACACCAGCAGGAACCTGAACACAGAACAGGAAAGATCTGCATTTCAGGGAAAATAAACATTAGTGAGGTGACCTCACTCTGAGAGACGGCTGTGGGGAAGAGAGGGCGGGAATATTAAGGACCGCCCAGCTGTCCCCACCTGCTAAATCCCACTTTTCTCCTGCTCGTTACATTGGTGCGCGCACGCAGGTGTGCGGACAGGTACGTACACATAGGCGTGGTAGATAAAGGCCCATCCTCGGGGTCTCTCCAAGACGTTGTACAGGAAGTTCTGCAGGCGTCTGTAGAGGGCGTTTCGTTTGGGAGGTTTCTTCCCCCCGGAGACGCTGCTGCGCTGCCGCCGAGGCCCCTCGTCTCCACCTAGACACAGAAACATGTCAGACAGGCACACGGACGCTTACATGTGCTGCTGAGGACTGGGGGGCAGTATGGGAGTGATGTGGGAGTAAACCCTCTGTCTGTGATGGGCAGCCAATCAGAGGAAAGCAGAATCAGAAATACTTCATTATTAATCCCAGCATGTGGTCACAGTAAGAACAGTAACGAACAAGGAAAAACAATCCAGTTATTATTTACTAATTAATAATATAATTACAGAAAAGCTCTTAAAGGGGGAGGAGCTAAAACAGCCTGTTTCAGACTGAGGATGATCTGAGGTGTCCAGAGCAAGATACAGAAGGATTATTCTGAGCTGTGAATCATGCAAAGCTGCTCCGGTGCATCAGCCAATCGCATTCAAGCCTCCTCTCAGTAAACACCTGCACCATGAAGCTGATTGGTCCTAACCTTCAAGAGAAAGGTTTGCAGGTTTTCGTGACAGAGTGACCACGTGACATGTCCTGTATACGTTTAAGTGAAATCAGCTGCTTTGGTTATTAAAGGTAACACACACAGCTGCTCACCCGCTATGAGCAGAGCACCGTCCCTACTGGAGTCCGTCCCTCCGGCCTCCAAACCCACGAAGCCGACCTTCAGCTTCTTCTGGTCGGCCTGCGCTCCGGGGAACACCCCGCCGTTGCGAGATTTCTGCACCATGACGGACCGACGATGTGCACCGATTCACCGAGCTACAGCCAGCCCGCGGACCGAGCATCGAGGCCGGGCAGGGCCGGCGGGAGCATCGGGGCCGAGGAGGAGGAGAAACGGAGAGGAGGAAGCGGAGGATGCAGCACAGACGAACCGCGGATTGGCTGATCAGCAGGTTTTTGACTTCCCGCACGAGGAAGGAAACAGAATGACGTCACCGCGTCAGAAACATTGATCACTTCGATCAGCTGCAAAAAAAAAGAAAAAGAAAAAAAAGCGTGATCGCTTATCACCGTCTCCACGGTAACGTGATGTCAACGGCGGTCACCATGGCAGCACGAGGTGTGGGCGGATAGAGATTGTGGCGACAACATCATTAACCAAAGAACCAATCAGGTTGGTGATGACGACAGACCCTGCAGCGTCAGCAGAGCCTGGTGACAGTGGGAATGAAGAACCCTTCTCTGTCCTCAGTAAACTGAAGCCATTTTCCTGCTTCAGAATCAGAATACTTTATTGATCCC